AATTCATAATAATTATTATTGTTTCATGATTGTATTTTATGTTATCTTAACTCAGTGGGTTTATTTCATTAGGGTGAAATATATACCGTTATTGATGTTCTTTTTCAAATTGGAATAATAAATGTTTGAAAAATGAGTATTAATATTAGGGTCAGTTTGAAATTTATTTTCAAAAATGTGAAATCAAATTTCGTTTGTGACAAATTAATTTTCGTTACTTTGAAATCAATTTTCATTTGAGCGAAATCAGAGCTGGGCAAGCTACTTGGAAAAAGTAGCTAGCTACAAGCTACTTTATATTGTAAGTAACTAAGTTACTCAGTAGCTCAACTACCTCTTTGAAAAAGTAGCTAAGCTATTAGTAACTTAACTACTTTTTGAATTAGTGAAAGCTACTATTTAAGCTACTTTTATCAATGTACATGCCTTACCTAATTTAATTTCATAATATCATCATACGAAAATAACATATTAATTTTCTCTAAGAAGTAGTATTCATATAATTCTTGTCAAAAACCACTGGACATTAATTTGTTAGGGTCACTTTGATCACATTGATCTGCGAATGCGTGAATAAAATAGGACACATAAAACATAGGTACCTACAGAGATAACTAGAAACTAGTCTAAGCAAGGCAGGATAAGAATTTTCCGGAAAATAAAATGATAATTGCAGCTTGAGCAATTAAAGTATAAAGTTACTTTCATCGAGCGGTAAATTCAAACGCGGGCGATAGGTTGGTGGAAACGTGCCTTTATAAGAAGAAAACTGTTTATTTTTGAAAACTTGTCGAATGGATGCCATTATATTATAAGTATAGTTATTTTATTTTTGAACTAGAAGAGTCCGCTGCGCATAAAACGTAATAAGTATTTTGGGCGTTGAGTATCGTTAACCACACCCTCGAGCGGTAAATGACACTTTCCGCCATTAATACTAATTAACTATTAACAATCTACCAAAAGTAGCTTAAGTAGCTTGTTTTAGTAGCTAGCTACTTTTCACAGTAGCTTATGAATACTTGAAACACATTACCAAAAGCTACAGCTACAAGCTACTTTTTTTTCAAAGTAGCTTGAATAAGTTATTAGCTACCAAAAAAGTAGCTAAGCTAGTAGCTTAACTACTTGGTAGCTAGCTACTGCCCAGCTCTGAGCGAAATTAGATTTCACTGATGCGAAATTAGATTTCACTGATGCGAAATTAGATTTCACTGATGTGAATTTAGTTTTCATTAATTTGAAATCAAATTTCACTAGTGTGAAATAATCCTGGAAATGGTATAGAGTTGATTAGCTATATAATAGTTAATATGTAGTTAATAAATTTATTGTGATTGGGAATTAGGAGATAATGGAAAATTGACCAAGTAATAGTGCTGCCTGTGAATTTTGTGTTAAGGTTTTTTCTACAAAATACAACCTCAACAGACACTTGAAAAACATTAATAATTGCAAGGTGAGGATATTACTTGGAAGAAGTCACACTAGTACTTTATATTAGTTGTCGTTTATTTAATAAAGTCTGAGAAACAATTGCTTCTCAGCTTCTCTGGAGAAAGAGTTATCCCTTCTTTTACAGTTCCGGAATATGCCTTTGACGATGCTTTGTTCAAATATGTATGGAGGATTTCCAAGTGTCATTTAAAACAAACCAGGAGTTGAGAAGGCATTTAACAACTAAGCATGGTTTCGAAATAGTGAAACACTCAATGAAGTTTGATAGTTAAAACAATTAGAATTATACTTAATGACTCATCAAATAAAACATATACCTACCTCATACTTATAATTTATTGGTAAAAAGTACCTATTGTAATTTATCATTATTATTGTTGAATCCATGTTGTAACAAATGTATAAAATACCAATTGACCTTTTCAATTTAGAAGCCTCTCTCTCTGGCGTCAGACTGTCAGACGCCAAAAGAGTATGAAAACAATGATTGACAGCTATTGACAGTGGTTTGTTGACAAGACTTTTATAGGTGTGAGAGTGGAAACTATTATTTCCTCGGTTTTTTCCTAATAATGGTGATTGTGTGTAGTGTGCCTTTTCGTGAAAATAATTCCTATTCACCGGCGGATGTGTCTTTCCATAAGTTTTTATCAAATCCTACATTTGTCAAAATTTGGATACACAAAATCAAAACGGATACTCGCAAAAGAAAGGAAAATTATTGGCCCATCAAGTTTACAAAGAAATCCACGTGCAAGTTTAGTTTGCGGAAGCTGTTTGCTTCCCACATTTTCTTTCCAATTTCAAATTTCACCATTCTATGTCGGTCATTGTCATTTTCCATTCACTGAACAAAGATACCTAACTCATCGGTGGAGTCACCGATTAGAATAAAAACCAGGGGATTGCTAAACACCCTATACACTTGACATTCACGAGCAAGCAAATATTGGCGGGAATCTGAATGTTTTCATACTTTATCGTCCATCTCTTTTAATTGAAAAGGTCAATTCATGTTCTTATTTAATAATAAAAGGTGAAAAAGAAATACCCATCAAGAAGAGCTTCATTATCATATTGCTAGAATCTACATGAAGATGAATACCTATATCTATGAAAATAACTCTGATATTTAAGGAAATAGTCCATTATCTCAAGTAAGATAGATCTAACCAAAGCCACCTAGCTAGCGAAAAAAAGGTAAAAGTTTTGGATTTCAATCAAAAAACAAAACCATGTGAACTGACTAGTTTTGACATAAGATTGTGTTTCTTTCATGTATGTACCATCGTCACCAAAACTATCTGGGACACAAATAATGCATAATAATCTCCTGGGACTAATTGTACTGTCATTCATTTCAATGCATTTAATTCATAGTTTGACAAATATTTGACAATAAAATTCATATAATAGAACAAGAGCTAATGTGATGCTTTTGGTGACGATGGTACATTTTTCAAGTACCTATGTACCTATGCATGTAATTAATATTTTCCATTTTTAAAGTAAACAAAACACCACACCGACTTAATAATTGAATAATATAGAAATAGAATTCTATTTTCTATTTTGGGTGAGGGAACGGCAACGCTGTACTCATTTGCGCTACAACAACTTCATTCGTTTCGATGAGGGTTATACTCCGGTCGGACTTCTGCTCGCGTTCGGCTCGTCCGACGCTCCCGCCCGAAAGCGACTTCGGGTGGGTAGAGCAAATGAACATTAGCACAAATGGGGTGATCCCGATACCGAACCCGCTGCAGTAAGCGCGCATGCGCCTCAGTAGCTTCATATTTTTGTTATCGGACTCCGGTACTACAGAACTATTGAAGTGCGACTCCTCGTAGTTTTATTTTTGGGTTGCGGTATCACGGATCGATGTTAACTAATAGTAAAATGTTTTTTTAATTGAGAAACTTCTTCAGGTAGAGTTAATTGTTATGTTAATGTTTATTTTGCCTAGTGTTTGAAGATTTTGTAGTGCGCATAAACTGTAAGGCGCAAGAACGAATTTAGTACTAGAAAATTCTGTTTTCTATTTTTGGTGTCACAGACCGACGTTAACATCTGGTAATTTTTTTTTTTAAATGGGGATCAGGAGATCAGATTTGTCTTGGTCGATCTCTTTGGTGAAAAGACCGCATGCTGAAATTATGTTGTTTTCTAGGACGAATTCTGAAGTTTCCTTGGCTAGAATTTTCTCCACTACTTTGAATACAGAGCATGAAATTCTGATGAGTCGGTAGTTGACGGGGTCGTATTTATCTCCACCCTTGTAAATTGGGATGATAATTGCTTGCGTCCAGATTTCAGGTAGGGTACCCTCGTTGATTCAGTCTTGGAAGAGCTTGGCTAGCAGCGGTTATAGCACGTTGCCACATTTTTTCAAGAATACTTCCGGTATTCTGTCAGTTCCTGGGCTAGAGTAGGTTTTTAGGTCCTGAAGAGCTGCATTAATCTTTTCTGTAGTGAAGTTGATTAGAGCTAGTTCATTTGGGTTTTTGCGAGGGGTTAATCACTCCCCGAAATCGTGTCACAAATTCGTCCGAAATCCCCGAAATCTTTTCGAAATCCTACCGAAATTCCCGAAATCCACGAAATAACTCCGGAATCCGCTGAAAAATACACTTTCGAATATACTTATAAGATAAGTAACAGTCTAAAATCAAATTAAAATTTTTGCGAAATCACCTGAAATTCTCCGAAATCACCCAAAATCAACCGAAATCCCTCAACATCGCTCTAAATCTGAATTCTTGTCACAGTGAATAATCCCTCGAAATCTCTCCAAAATCCTAACGAAATCTCTCAAAATCTAAATCCGAAATCTTGTCACATTTTTCCCTTGGTGAATAACCCCTCGGGTTTTTGGTTTCAATTGAAAGGCATGGAAAATTATTTAGATTTCCTGTGGTGAAAACAGATTGAAATTGTTCAGCAAATAAGTTTCTATTTCTTTGGGATCTTGTAGGAGTTGCTGGTTTACAGTATTTTTGAGAATCAGGTCATCCAGATGGCTGTTTAGATTATTTTTGATATAGATATACAAAATTTTCTTATGTTGCCATTTCTCAACAAACTAATTTGAAATTTGTTATGATGAGCTCCTTTCCTTAAGAACTTACTCACTACATTCAACTCACACACACACACACATTCAAATGTACCCTATTTGCAAATATGTATGTATATCAAAACCTTAATCGTTTTAAGCAAAAATTTTAAAAAAAATGCTATGATTTTTTTACCCACTGAACTTGAGAAAAATATATAGGTAAGTAGGTACTCCAAAACTATGCAAGTACCCGTGCGGTAAAGTAGCACTTCCCGCACCTATTAAGGAAAACGATAGAAAGCCAGGTTATGCAAAATAATGTCATTAGTACCTACATATTTTTGGCGTCTCATTTACCGCTCTCGAATATTCATTCCCAGGTTCATTCCTCATTGCTTCAGTTTTCAAACACATTTGTGCAATAAACGACACTTACCCTCGCACTTACCGCACTCGATAATATTTTGTTAAATTTCTACTTTAGAAAGCAGAAAAGTCGCGCTTTCTGCTACTTCTGCCAGAGCGTGCAGCGCTTACCGATTTGCGCGCAGTGCGGCAAAATGAAGTGCATGCTGAAAACTGGCGATTGCGTGGTGCGACACGCCGGAGTTTTCACCACCGGGATGGGCATGGTGGGCGCGATTTGCGATTTTTGCGAAGCATGGGTCTGCCACGGACGGAAATGCTTGCAATCGCACGCTTGCACCTGTCCGCTTCAAGAAGCCGGCTGCATCGAATGCGAAAGAGGAGTTTGGGAACACGGAGGTCGCATTTTCAAGTGCTCATTTTGCGACGGGTAAGAATTATTCTCATATAAATGAACTTTTGCTGGACATTATTCATGCATTACCATACTTGACTACAATATTAAAATTAATTTCAATAAATAATAAAACTTCTCTAGAGTTCTAATGTTCCAATCTTCTACTTAATGCAGCTTCATTTAAACATTTACTAACCGTCCTAGAAGATTTGAAACAGTTGCAAGCTCATAATTCCAGGGATTCTCAAGTTTCTTTTATAAATATGTACTCTGTCTTCATCCACGCCCTTCTCTAGAAATTAAGCTCTATCCTGTTGAATCCCCTAAAGTATCAAGTACTTATTTCCCTTTCCTTAAATTATAAAATATCGTGGCTAGTAAATTTTGTCCATAGCTTTATCAAGTCGTCGCCTTCCTTACAAAGGGGCTTATCTCAAAAAATTGCTAAATTGAGATAAGCCCTTGGGAGACATCATCAAAAGAGATACCTGCAGCTACCCTCTAAAAGGCGTATCTCAAATCCTCAAATATAGGTAATCTCGAAGGCCTATCTCAGATTTGACACGAAAATAATCTCACAAAATATTTGTAAAAACTTTTTTTTTCTCTCCTGAAAAATCACAAAAAAAGAGATAAGCCCCTTTGCAAGGAAGGAGACGAAGTATAGTTCATGTTTCAAAACCTCTTCATTAGTTATCTGTGCGAAGACGATCAGTTTGAACATCAAGCTTCCTGCCAAGTATTGGAATCAGAAAACTACAAGTGCCAATCGTGCAACAAACTAGGCCAATACTCTTGCTTGAGATGCAAAACTTGCTACTGTGAGGATCACGTCAAAAGGAAAGGTTTCAAGTACGATAAAAACAAGGCCATACCTTGTCCTAAGTGCAACTATGATACTTCTCAAACTAAGGATCTTAGTATGTCTAGTGAGTTTTGAAGGTTTTTTTTTTTAATGGCAAAGTGAAAATTGAACAATTTCTAGCGAGAAGTCACAAATTCGGTAGACAAGGCCAAGCTACCTACAATGATTATGAAGCTGGGGGTGACGATGATGAAGCTGGCTACAGCTATGGAGGCTATGGTGCCTCAGCTAATTATGAAGATAATTATTCAGATGATGAGGAAGATGAGGATTCAGATGAAGATGATGAAAGTAATTGGATTTTGGCTAATTTTGAGCTTAATAATAGTACTATGTTTTTTTTTAGCTGGAAGTGAAGAGGAATCTGATGATAGTCAAGAGAGTGAAGATAAGAAAAAATAATTATATTGCATTCAAATAAATTACAGCCAAAATTATTTTTATTTTCTAATTAATCAGTCGTCCGGAAATATAATCCTTTCTGCTTCATCATCATCATCATCAGTTCCTAATCTTATGTCAATTCCAGCAGGTGCAATAGTAGTAGTTGGTATTAAAGGCGTTTGCGGCAAATTAGGTTTGATAAACTCTGCACTGGTACTTGCTCTAGGGTCAATGCTGGGAGCAACTGTTGTAGGTGGTACTGGAGGGCGTGGTCTGCGGCGGTTGCCAAATGGAAAACAGTCTGGGTGGTGATGATGGAACCCCCACAGGCCTTGATGAAAACCTAAAATATCTAATCTGTATTGACTGAGTTTTGCTTGGCTTGTTTCGCTCACCATGTTTATGAATTAAGTTATTCTCTGCATTATTGTTTTCGAGCCACGGTACAGCAAATTTACCATTTTTGTTGAAATCTTCATTGTTGGGTTGATAATAATCGAATACTTCTTGGGGAGAGCGGAATTTATATTGACTTTGGTAGAACGGTTCATAATTTGGTGGTTTGAGTAAAATGTTGTTACTTGCTGAAATGTCATGGACGTCATCATTTGATGATGCTAGTAAACTGGTCACTGAAAATAAAATAAATTATGTTTGGATTTGTTTCAGGTTTTTTTCTTTAAATGAATAAACGATTTCAATAAAATTTAATTATGATTAGGGATCAATTATTATTAACAAAAGATTTAAACGTGAATTTTTCCATCATGAATTAATTATTTTTGATTATTAATGATTTACAATGAGAATAATTGGAAGAGGAAAATCCACAACCAACTTGAGTCAGATGATTTTGCTGTAATAACAAATTTCCCAAGAATGAAGCGGAAATAGAAGAGAATTGCATGTGTAATTTAAAATATATTTATTTGTCAACTAGTTACGTTAACATTTCTAATTCTTTGAAGTTCTTTCCAGATTTTCAGCCTTAGAAGGTAAAAGTCAAAATAATTAAAAGTTTTTACCCAAATCCCATCAAAAATTAAATACTTACACTTTGTTTTCGTATCACCACTATCGTCATCAATCCATCCAGTAGGGCCACAATTTATCGATTCAAAAATAACAAGAAAAAATGCTAAAACTACACCGTTCATCTTTAATTCTATAATGACTCAATCTGGTACTTAGTATCGTGACGTGTACCCGGTACTTATTAATATTAATTAGCGAAGATAATTATTATTGCAGAACTGGTCAACGGTTCAAGAAGAAATGATTGCAACCTGTTAACATAGGTTGCTTTTATCGGCAAGGTTAGAGGAATCCCTTTATTGACTGGGGAATCCCTTTGATTAAATTCGATCTAGTCACAGTTTATTACTATTTAATTATTTATACATCACAATAGGGGGAATTTATTGTTACCTATATGTTGAAAGATTTATTCAGGCGTCATCCAACATTGGAAGGAAATTGACAACCCTTGTCTTGTATAGATGCCACATTGCCAATAATTTATTTGGTTCAAAATATCTACCATAAATCCCCTTGATCTGGGGATGCGTATTTCCCCATCATTAAATAAGATAAAAATCCCCTAGAGGAAGAGATTTATCGAAATCGCCCATTAAAGCCCACCAGAAATAAATAATTTAAATTAGGTACTCGCCTGAAATAAACATTTTCATTGAATTACTAATACATTGTCACTAAACTAATTTTTTTTCTTCTATTGAATAAGCATTAAATATTCAGTCCATATGTGTACAATCGTTCCCTTGATGTGAGAAGTTGACTGTGGGTGTGATTGGGTACAAAACGACTGATGCTTTATTATTACTAATTTATTTAAGGAAAAAAAAGACTATTTGTACACAAATAAATGCAATATTTACAAAGGTCATTGACTAATAAATTAACTAAGGTGCTGATTTTTATGTTTTAGTTTTACTGACCCACTGTTCATAATATGGATGACTTTAAAAATGCTTGCCTAGCTTGGTGAATAGAAAATAATTATAAATATACAGGGTGGGGCACAAAAAACTTCCCACCCAGAGTTTCTCAGGTGTTAGGTGTTGAATCAAAAATCGCTCAGACACGTCAATTTTTGTTTTTTGGGGGACACATTTTATTAGTATTTTCACCCCCTACCTATCAACCCCTAAGTGGGGGTAACAGGTACCCCCAAAATTCAATTGAAAAGAGGGGTCGAGTGATATGTGATTTGATAGCTATTTTCATTAAGATTATAAACCCGAAGCTTTAACCCACTGAACAAAATAAGATTACAGTAATAATGAGGTAACATTACACTGCAAACTTGTAAGGTTATATTGAAGTTTACTGTAATGTTGACGCAGTATTGCGGCAAGTACTGAAACAACCTTAGGGTAATATTACAAATGCAAGGCTTATAAATGATAACCTTTCAGCAATATTACTGGAATATTAGATCAAAACTTCAGCAAACTTACGAGTGTAAGGTTACAAATTCAAATATACCTTAGGGTTACTTGCAATTTATTAGTAAGTTTACTGCAATATTGCATTTTTATTACAAATATATTGGGTTCGCAAATTTACTGAAATAAAAAAGTAATGTTGCAACTGTAAATGCTATGTATGTACCTATACAGAGAGATTTGAGTTGCGGTGCATAAACTCTAACAGCTTGTTCTAAAAACAAGCTGTTAAAATAACAGCTTGTTCTAAAAACAAGCTGTTAAAACTTGTGCCTGAAACCCATAATCATATATTAGGTAGATATTTTATTATGAATAAAAGTACAAGTTTTTGGAAAACAAAATAAAAAGGTTGGTAGGTATATTATGTATATCTATAATACTCACAATAAAAAAATATACTTAGGTGAAAAACAAAACGTAAAAAGTAATATCTCAAAGCAAAATAAATAAAAATTCTAAACAGAAAAAAAAAAGCGAAATTTTAGATTGGTTGACACACAGAGGACGAAGTAGGTACTGGCTGCTACCATAGCTGCTACTTATATTGTCACCTGAAACAAAAACAAAATCAGGGAGTAGTTCTGTATTTTTATTATAATAATTATTCCCCGTCGTAGCCACTTTCTTTCTGGACATTACCTACCAAACGGTTTACGGTATTTTTGATCCTAACTAAAATATTATCGTAAAATCATAATAAGTAATATAATAATAATACGGGATTTGTAGGTATGAAAAAAAGAGGTTACGGTTTACAAAAAAGGGGCCCCATTCCGCAGTATTTTTGTAAAAAGTATTTATTGACTATGCAAACCTTACTCACCTTATTTGAATTCTCATCCATTGTAATCGCTGTATATTTATTTCATTTCCACAGATTCTAAAATAAAAACTGAATAATAAAAATAACCAAAAAGCAAAGCACTACCTGAACCGATCCAATACATAATCCCAACACAAACACCAAAAATTTAGCCGAGATTCGCTTTATCACAGACACAACATTCAACAAGCAGACACAGCACTCAACTCAAACGACAAACAGCGACTTGATGGCGTCGATTTGCTTTCGGTTTAGTTCGTATCCCCGATGTCGTTCCGATCGTTATTAATGGCGGCAAAGCTTTCGATTTTCCAATATATTATTTCTGCTATATTGCAGCAAGTTTACATTCAATATTAAATTATAACATTGCAAAATAATATCAACACAACTTTAAGGCATCTTTGCGATGTAACCTTACCTACAAGTTATATTTCCAATTTTGCAGCAAGTTTACATTTGGTAGTTATTATAACATTGCAAAAATTATACCAGTTCAATTTAAATGCATATTTACAATGTTAATTTGCGTACAAGTTATAATTTCTAATATACGTTAAAATTTCAAGGATATTCCATTTTGTAATTTATTAACGTAATGTTGTCTCAAAAATAATTCAATATTACATTGTAATGTTTCGAAACTAAGATCAGAGAATATCAGAGTAATATTGCATTAGGCTTTCGTAACATTGCATGTTCAGTGGGAAGTTGCTAGTGTTTACCCTGTCGAAATAACGACATGTCAAAGTTAGGTTAAATGCTTTTTTTCGATAATCTACACTAGTGATGCCGCGAGACGAGACTAAAATGACACTCTCGTCTCGTCTCGCCCTAATCTCGTCTCGTCTCGAGGCCATTTAGTCTCGACTTCGAGACGAGACGAGACTGAAAGAAGCGAGACGAGACGAGATTCTCGACTAATCTCGTCTCGTCCTTCAAATAATCGTTTTAGTTTCTTTTTCAATAATGTTTCAAAGGAGCTACCTACAGGAAATCCTTTATTCGATAGTAATATAACAAAAGCAATGGAAATTATCGAAAATTTTTGGCAAATTTTCCCAAATGCATTTTCAGTTGAAAAAGAGCACGAGTGCCTTTTCAGTTGAAAATGCATGAGTGCAAATTTGTCAAAAATTATAGATATATTTTCATTGTTCGAGTTGTATTTTATGAGAGAATTCCATGAATCAAAAAGGACCCCGCACACCTCTTATGGGTTTTTGGTTTTCTGTCAAACTCAATGAAATTTTGATATGTGTTAGACCTTGACTTCCTGATAAAAAGTTCTCATGGGCCCGAACCAATCCTATGATTAGTTTTTGAGATACAGGTACTTTTATGTCCAAGAAAGGTATACATTTTATATGTATTCACAATCTACCTGTTACCTAATAATAGGTCTGTTTCTGCAAAAATCACAAACTTGTCAGAGCGAATTTGATTGGTCGAAAACAGTCAGAAACAGTCAGAAAACTAGTTACAACCAATGAAATTCACTCTGACAGACCTAATAATAGGTGACAGGTAGATGTGAATGCATATAAAATGTGTACATTTCTTGAACCACCTGTATTTCGGAAAATAATCATAGTATCGGGTTGGGCCCATGAGAACTTTTTATCAGTAAGTCAAGATATACCACATATCAAAATTTCATTGAGTTTGACAGAAAACCAAAAACCCATAAGATGTGTGCGGGGTCCTTTGAATTTTTAGTACAGTGTGTCCCGCTTAAGGACTGACCACCCTTCTAAAATTTTTATTTTTCAACCGATTCAATTCATTTTTTTTTTCGTCTTGTAGCTACTCGAATTTGGCACTTATTGGGCTCATAATTTTATTTCTACGGCTGCACTGGTTTACAGGGTGTCCACATTTATAGGCTCAAATTTCAATAAGTACCATTAGGGATTTTTTTTAGAAAAAATCTGATAGCAGATTCTTGTTTAGAATGGTCTAAGACCCTAATGTACGAATTTTTGTTTCAATAGGATACAGGGTGATCACAACAAATTTTTGAAATTTAATGGATCAAACCGTAAAAATTTTATATTTTGATGAGACAAGCTTATCACAAGTTTTGGTTAAGGATGTTCTAAAACTATGTTGTATCAAGTTTTATTTACGACTAATGTATAATGTGCGTATTATATTTGTGATTTTGGCAGTATAATGACATATGTTATTCCTCCAGGGATTAATGACGAGTAGCGGGATTAATGGTCATTATTCCACAAAAGTGTCAGTGTCAAACGTGTAGTGCTTGTGGATTTGTATTGAAAATTATGAGACGGATGAAATTTGTTCATTGAAAATCTCAAATAAATTAATTCGTCGTAAATAAAGTAGAGTATACTACTCGCAATAATGGCTATTATTCCCTCGGAATGTTACTCCCTCGCCGCTAACGCGGCTCAGTTCGTAATAATCCTCGGGAACAATAGCTATCATTATTGACTCGTGGTATAATCTACTATTATTGTTCTCAAGGCCTCAAAATATGAAATTTTTCCGGTTTGGTTCATTAAATTTTGAAAATTTGTTGTGATCAACCTGTATCCTATTGGAACAAAAATTCGTACATTAGGGTTTTAGACCATTCTAAACAAGAATCTGCTATCAGATTTTTTCTAAAAAAATCCCTAATGGTACTTATTGAAATTTGAGTCTATAAATGTGGACACCCTGTAAACCAGTGCAGCCGTAGAAATAAAATTATGAGCCTAATAAGTGCCAAATTCGAGTAGCTACAAGACAAAAAAAAATGAATTGAATCGGTTGAAAAATAAAAATTTTAGAAGGGTGGTCAGTCCTTAAGCGGGACACACTGTATACCCTCGTAAGTATAAAAATGTCACTGGTCACAAAAAATTTCAAATGCCACCCGTTAGGGTGCAATTATCCGATAATCCTGCACTAGTGCAAATTATCACGTAATCTCAATCTGATTGGTTGCAATC